AACGGTTACAATAGGGTCCTTGCACTGGTGTGCTCGGACCCTAAATATTTGCCCACAATGACCAGAACTTGTTGAAGGAGAGAAGGTGAGGCCTTTAACTCCAATAACACCAAACCTACCGTCAAGCATGGTGGTGGCAGTATTATCCTCTTGGGTATATTTGCAGCCAGTGGAACTGGTGCTTTACACAAAGTAAACAGAGTAATGGAGGAGGAGGATTATCTCCACCTTCTCCAGGATAACCTAAAATTATCAGCCAGGTTGGGTCTTGGGTGCAGTTGGGTGTTTCAACAAGACAATGACCCCAAAACACATCAAAAGTGGTAAAGAAATGGCTAAATCAGATCAGAATTAATATTTTACACTGGTCTTCTCAAAGTCCTGACTTCAACCCTATCAAGAACCTGTGGACTGTGATGAAGAAACAAGTCAGAAAGTCAACAAATTTAGTTAAACGGCACCAATTCTGTCAAGAGGAGGGTCAAAGATACAACCAGAGGCTTGTGGACGGCAACCGGAGTTGAGGTGAAAATGGCCAAAGGGCATTTAACCAGATATTAGCATTACTGTATGTATAGTTCTGCCCCAACGGATAAAGTCATGTTTTCAGAAGATCTATAATAAATCTATAAAAGACCCAAATTTTACTGGGAAACACTATTTACAGGTAAAAATATCACTAGCAGGTATCATCATGAAACTTTCCCAGTTTATTACATTAAGACAATATTTTCTGTTTTTCAAGTTCTCAAATTTTGGTTTTCATCTGCACAAATTTGCATAAATTTTTAGGAGATAAAATGTGTAAAAATAAACATCTAAATGTGTATTTTGATTTTTTTTTCTATTAGTCTGAATGAAAACATGTTATGAAAGTAAAATGGCTCAAAATTGAACAGTGCATGAAAAAAAACTAAGGTTTTGTTTGTAGTTTTTAACCTGAATATAGCCGCAAAACAGTATCAGTACTACAGGAACATCTGCTGTGATAAAGTGGAGTGACGGTGTTCCTCGCAGAGAATGAAGTCTAACTGCATGTTTGCGTGCTGTGTTACAGACTTCTCTGTTCTTTGTTTTGGCAGTCGGTCCAGCCATGAGTGCATGTTGGTGCATGTGATTCCCTTCCATTGAAGTTGCTGACCTTCGCTACGTTCATAGTGAGACCAAGAGTGACTGCAGGGTAAAAGCTAAAGTGACACTGAGTCATTCAGCCGGTGCTTAAAAACCACAGAACAGTAAGATGTTGTTTCTTTTATTTTCCAAATGTATTTTTAAAAATTTCAGCTCAGTGTAAGAATCTCTGCTGCTTCTTCTTTGTTCTACTTCAACCACCTGTTTCCTGTGATGGTTTGTGCGTCATGGCGAAACAGACACTCACAAAGCGGAGCAAAGAAGAGAAAAATGACATAACGGGAATGTTACTCACGTTGAAAACAAGTTGTTTCGGCCACTCAGTGGGTTTTACCATGCTAGCAGGTAGCTAGGTGGATAATTTTCTTGGCTCTCATGTACGAAGCCTTTGTGGTTGTAAACAGAGTAAAGGGACAGTGGAGCCGCGGTGAACACACCTGCTGGCTTTGATGCTTTTTTTAGCATCCAGTTCTGCTGAATGTGGCAAACTGCACCTTTTACATTAAAACATTTGAAAGTGAAAGCATGAAGTTGTCACATTTGCAAAGCTGAAATATATGAAAAATGACTTTGCTAACTTTGCTTGAACATAAAGCCGAGTATTCTGAACCTAACTGAAGCTGGCTATCAGGAAGAAGGCAGGATTAAGGCTTCACTTGTCAGAGCTGGAAGCTACGTCCACCTTTTATATACAGTCTATGAAGTAAAGTATGTGGTAAGAAGTGAGATCTGATTGAAAGAAACACTTGACTGCAGCGATTGGCTCAAAGGGTTGTTCAACAGAATATTAGTTTACGGGTCCATGTTTTTTTTTTGTTGTTTTAAATATATATTTCTGTTGATCCACAATTCAAAAGCAATGTCATGATTTTCATTACATTTCTATTTATTATTACTTTTGTCAATTTCAGCTCATTTCAGTGACAGCTGTTGTTTTCCTTCTTTAATAGGAGGCTATGAATACATTTGAGGATGACTGTATAAGAGTAAATGGCTGACAATGTTTTGATCCCATTTGAATTGTGCCATGTATTACACTTATGTTAGACAGTTTAGCAAATCTACAGAGTTGGAGTTTGTAAAAAAAACAAAAAAACAAACAAAAAAACACAATAATATGTAATTAGAAAGCCTAAACATCTGTAAGTTATACGACATCATTGTAACCTTATGTCTCCTAAAGCTACCCGGTCACTCCAGACCCATGTACATCGACAGAGTTGCTGCATTTGCACAGCTGTAGCTCTGAATATGACCAAACTTTTAGTGATTATCACCACTTTTAGTATCTTTTTACCACATTTTGTTGGAATGAAATTAAATTTGACAAAGTAACAGCGGTGTTGATGTTGTGTACTGTGTGACATAACAGTTCACTGAGCAGTTTAACAAAGAGGAAAAGTACTTTATCAGCTTTATGGCACAATTCAAACTGAATCAAAAATTTTATGTCTCTCACTGTTGAATAGATTTTGTCTCATATAATCCCTTTGTGATATCCGACCTCTCGGCCCAACTCCTCTGTTTTACCGCATAGTTCAGGGTTTTCCTATTTCTTTAAGGACTGAGGGGTAGATGTCCTTCAATCTCCAAACAGAACATGGACGGCGACATGACACGTCCTCCTGCAGCAGCACGTCACACAGAGCGGTTACGGGAGGATTTTGGAAAGATCAAACATGACTTTGTGGGTAGAAAAAAAACAAGGGACCACTGTTAATAATTACGTGTCTTTATTCAGAGGGCTCACACGTGATTTTACAGTCCTCGTGGTGTTTTGAAGTTCATCCCAAGGGCTGGCTGTGTGACTTGGAGGTTGGAAAGGCCGCCGAAATCCTACACGAGGAAGAGTAAGTATTAGATCATCAGAATATCACACGCAGTCAGTAGCAGCACTGTTCATCTGTGTCTGGGGGGATTCTGAAAAAGCTGCTTTGATAAATGCCATTGGGCAAAAGAAGAGTTTCCCTGGTGTCTCTGTAGTGGAGCTGTGTGAGGTTAGCGAGCTCTAAGTCTGGAGAAGCAGACAGGAGTTCCAGGAAGCCAGCGATAAGAGATGAACGGTGGAGGATGGAGTCAGCAGAAAAATGGAGTTTAACAGTCACGGTGTCGTTGTGTGTAAGTGTACGCTGCAGTCAGAACATTTTCCCTGCTGTACCTTGCTGTCAGCCCTTTCAGAGAGTGAACTGAAGCGGCTATATTGATCTGTGCTCACGTCAACGCCACCAGAATGTGTTGGCAGGAAGTTATTTTACCTCCCAGAACGGTTCTACTGCTGCCTCAAGCACTCAGTTTGGAGCTGAGCTAAAACTCAAAAAACTACTTAAACTGACAAATTGAGGCAGTGGTGGACCAACAACTGGTGCATTCTGTGACGTTAAACTACTGGTTTTGTCAATGGAGTCTGGTGGCTTTGAAGAGAAAACTGCTTGAGTTCCCCGCAACAAAAGGGCTGTCGGACGCAAACGTAGAGCAGTAAAAACGTACTAAATATGCACTGAAGATGCACTAAAGATGCTTTGCTGCTAATCCCGTCCACAGAAGTTTATTTCTTAGCTTCTCTACTGGAACAACTGCCTGCCTCTCCAAACAGAGGGCAAGCCGACCACTATCCGCTGTAGGTCAAGAGTCAAATACAATCCCGCGTTAAAAGAAACCAAACTGATGCTTTGTAGGTAAAACATGACAGCTTAATCCAGCGGTCCCCAACCACCGGGCCGCGGACCGGTACCAGGCCGCACAGAAAGAAAAAAAAAAAAGAGACTCAATGCTGAGACAGAAGAAAAGTAAACACATATTTAGCAAGTAATTTTATTTGTTTGTGAAACTTTCTAATCTGAAAAAAAAAGTATTATTTTTGTTATGTGTGCAATGATCGGTCCATAGAAAAATTTATTGCGTAATACCGGTCCATGGTGCAAAAAAGGCTGGGGACGGCTGGTTTAACAGATGCTACCTTTATGCAGAATTCTAGAAAAAACACTCGGAGCCTTGTTAGGATGCAATTTGTGACGACTCTCACAGGCTGCTTCATTAGACCATCACACCTTTATAATAGAATGTCATGGAATTCAGTACAACAGCTCTGATATAAACTTTACTCTGTTGAAGCTTCTACATTTTCACTTTTTGTTGATGTGGGTGGGTGGTTGTACAGTAGAGTTTCCTGCAGAGCTGCTGTACTGGTTGCTTTACATTTGACAGACATACCTAATAAAGTGGCTGCTCAGTGTATATGGTAGTTAATGTAAACTAATTAGTGTGCAAAGTTGTGTTTTCATCTAAATATTAAGTCCTATTAATTTAAAGTGTGTGTTTTTAACTGAATGTATTTCTCTATAAAGCACTTTGGTCGACTTTAGTTTCTAATGTTTTCAGCTTACAACAACACCAGAGTGTCTGCTGTGACATTATTCAGGACTAACTGTAATTACTGTGTCTGAGCTGAAAATGTTCACGTCTGGAATAAGTGCATGCAAATATAGCAGGAAGTAGTGTTGGACACTCACCAGCATTTTGAGCATTTCCTTTGTGTCTGGATCCACCTCGAACA